TCAGCGGCAGCAGCCGCAGCAGTTCCAGCAGCGGGGGAGACGAGGTGGCGCACCAGAGGAGATGGCAATGAGCCAGCCGCAACGCGTGGCACCCAGGCCACCATAGAGTCTGCCCATGCTGGAACCAGCCTGCATAAGTTCCTTGGCGTGCTCGTTCGCCTCCAAAAAAGGAACAGCGGATCAAGCCAGGAATGGTGATCGGCCACGTGGACCGAAACCCAACGACAAGCTGATGACGAAGCAGGAAAAAAGCTCGGAAGCGGATGCAATATTCAATGCCGCATACAGCGATGATTGAGGAAAAGGTATCAGGTCTGCCAGGACATCGTACATCATGGGAGGGTACCATCATAAAGTCCATCATAGGGATGCTCGAGTATAGGACCGACAAGGTCGTGATATTCACGCAGGCTGAACAGCAGACAGGAGAGGACCCACAGGAGCAACAATAATATCACTGAGCTGCCCAACGGTTGTTGATAATGATGATGCCCCAAGGGGGGCGCAGAGTCCCATCATGATGTTGATGATGATGATGGTGATCACGATGATGATGAGGCGGAGGAGGATGAGGATGTGGATGGTAATGATGATGATGTTGCTGATGATGATGATGACGACGATGAGAAAGACGAGGATGAGGATGGGGATGAGGATGGTGATGATGATTGTGATGGGGATGGGCATGATAATGATGGGGACGATGATGATGCTGATGCTGATGGTGGTGATGATGATACTTGTGATGAAGATGATGGTGATGATAATGATGATGATGCGGGTGATAATGATCATGATGATAATGATGGTGATAATGATGGTGATGATGATGAGGATGATGATGAGGATGCTGCTGATGATGTTGATGATGATGGTGGTGGTGGGGATGTTGATGCTGATGCTGCTGATGGTGATGATGCTGCTGATGATGCTTATGCCTATGATGATGATGATAATGATGATGCTGATGATGATGATGATGATGGGGAGGATTAGGATTAGGATTAGGATGAGGACGAGGACGAGGATGCGGATGAGGATGAGGATTAGGATGAGGATGATGATGAGGATGATGATGATGCTGATGCTGATGAGGATGATAATGAGGACGAGGATGAGATGGAGGATTATGATGATGCTGATGATGATTATGTTAATGATGATGATGGTGATGGTGATGATGATGATGATGATGATGATGATGATAATGATGATGATGATGAATGATGATGCGGATGATGAACATGATGATGGTCGGAGGTGAGGGGGTGAGATCGAAGGGGAACGGAGAGCCCCCCTACCGGGAAATCGATTTCGGTTTCGTGTTCGTGCGTGCCTTGCGTGCGGGCGAGGCGAAGCTGCGTGGGCGGGCGAGAAGAAAGTCTCCTGTAGCTGAGGCGCGGCCGGACCGAATGATTCCAGACCGGCGTCCGGTGGCCCGCGGTGTCCCGCCGGTGTCCCGCCTCCAGCTGAGGCGCGGCCGGACCAAATGATTCCAGACCGGCGTCCAGTGGTCCGCGTTTTCCCGCCGGTGTCCCGCCTTTGCCTGAGGCTCGGCCGGACCAAATGATTCCGGACCGGCGTCCGGTGGCCCGCGGTGTCCTGCCGGTGTCCTGCCGGTGTCCCGTCGGTGTCCTGATGATGATGATGATGTTGATGATGATGATGATGATGATGATGATGACGATGATGATGATGATGATGATGTCGATGATGTTGATGATGATGATGATGATGATGATAATGATCATGGTGATGGCGGTGATGATGATGATGATGGTGTCCCGATGACGATGATGATAATGATGATGATGTTGACGATCTCGATGATGATGATGGTGTTGATGGTGATGATGATGGTGTCCCGATGATGATGATGATGATGATGATGATGATGATGATGATGATGATGATGATGTTATTGATGATGATGGTGTCCCGATGATGATGATGATGATGGTGATGATGATGATGATGTTGATGATCCGGCTGATGTTGATGATGATGATGAGATGATGAGATAATGATGATGATAATGATGATGAAGATGATGATGATGTTGGTGTCCCGATGATGATGATGATGATGATGATGATGATGACGATGATGATGATGATCATGATGCTGGTGATGATGATGGTGATGATGTTGACGATCTCGATGATGATGGTGATGCTTGTGATGATGATGGTGTCCCGATGATGATGATGTTGATGATGTTGTTGATGATGATGGTGTCCCGATGATGATGATGATGATGATGTTGATGATCCTGCTGATGTTGATGATGAGATTATGAGATGATGATGATGAAGATGATGATGGTGTCCCGATGGTGATGGTGTTGTTGATGATGATAATGATGACGATAATGGTGTCCCGATGATGATGATGTGGATGATGATGAGGTGATGATGCTGGTTTCGATGATGGTGGCCCAATGATGGTGATGATGATGATGCTGATCTTGATGACGATGATGGTGTCCCGATGATGATGATGGTGATGATGATGATGTTGATGATGTTGATGTTGTTGGTAATGATGATGGTGTCCCGATCATGATGATGATGATGTTGATGATGTTGTGCATGGTGATGATAATGAGATGATGATGATGATGGTGCTCCGATGATGATGATGGTGTCCCGATGACGATGGTGTTGATGATGATGGTGAAGATGATGGTGTCCCGATGATGATGATGGTGATGATGATGGTGATGATGATGGTGATGAGGTGATGATGATGATGGTGTCCCGATGAAGATGATGATGTTGATGACGTTGATGACAATGATATTGATGATGATGATGGCGTTGAGTGTGATATCGAGTGTGATATCGATAGTGAGATCGATTGTGAGACCGAATGTGAGATCGATTGTGAGATCGGTAGTGAGATCGATCGTGAGATCGTTTGTGAGATCGATAGTCAGATCGATTGTGAGTTCGATCAAATGAAATAGTTCGAGTGAGATCGATCGAGTGATATCGATCGAGTGAGATCGATCGAGCGAGACCGATAGTGAGATCGATAGTGAGATCGATAGTGAGATCAATAGTGAGACCAAACGATGGTGATGATGATGATGATGATGAGGAGGATGAGGATGAGGATGAGGATGATGATGATGATGATGATGATGATCATGATGATGATGCTGCTGATGATGATGCTGCTGCTGCTGATGATGATGATGATGGTGGTGGTGGTGGAGGTGGTGGTGGTGGTGGTGAGGAGGAGGAGGAGGAGGCGGAGGAGCAAGAGGAGGAGGAGGAGGAGAGGGAGGGGGAGGAGGATGAGGACGAGGACGAGGACGAGGACAGGGATGAGGAGGAGGATGGTCTTGAGGGAGTTTCACTGGAACTCACGTCATCCTGACAGCCAGCGCTCGAGAAGGTCGCCTCCCAGTTCACCCCCAGGAGCCCTTTTCCAGGGATGCACCAGGCGCGCTGGGCGTGTCCCAATCTGGCGCTCTCGCTCGAGACATCCTCGCAAAAACAAAAAAAAAAAAAAAAAAAAAACATTTCCGGGGATGCACCGGGCGCGCCGGGCATGTCCCAATCTGGCGCTATCGCTCGAGACATTCTCGCAAAAATCACGCCAGGGGGCCCCAGCGGGAGCAGGTCTGGGGATGCGTCGAGCGCGCCGGGCGCACCGGGCGTGTCCCAAGCCAGGCTCTCGTCCGAGAGCGTCCCGCAAGAAAACAAAAATCATCGATTCTCTTTTAAGTTTTGGAGCCATTTTGGCCTCCCTCTGATGCCCTCTGGAAGCCATCTTGGGGCATCACCGATCGCGACCCCCCCCCTCCTAGGTCCAGGGCAGGGGGTAGGGGGAGAGGTCAATACGCCCTCCCCGCCCGCAAGCCGTCTCGCTCACTCCCACCCGCCCTCCCTACACATACGTAGCACCCGAGCCTGACCCGAGCCGCAGCATATGCAGCAGTCGTCTTTGGATGGGCAGCTACTGGGGGCGAATCCGCTGCCGCCGCCGCCGCCCGCCGCCGCCGCTGCCGCGCCGCCGCCGCCGCCGCCGCCGCCGCTGTCCGCCGCCGCCGCCGCCACCGCGCCGCCCGCCGCCGCCGCCGCCGCCGCCGCCCGCCACCGCCCGCAGCCGCCGCCGCAGCCGCTGCCGCCTGCCGCCAGCCGCCGCAGCCGCCGCCGCCGCCAAGTGTACTCTGTATTGTTTTTTGACAGGGATGGTGGGGGGAGGCCGCATCGGGTTCGCTGCGCATGTTCCGAATTTGGAGACAGAGTGTGGTTTGTATTGTTGTTTACAAGGGATGGTGGGGGCAGAGTGTGTTTTGTATTGGTTTTTTAAGGGATGGTGTGGGTGTGCCCTCATGGACTCGGGTTGGCTCCCAGTCGCCTGGGGGAGGGGGTGTATATAAATAGGGAACAGTGATAAACCCCTCCCCCGCGCAGGGGAAGGAAGGACTTCGGCAAAGAGAAGACAACAGTCGTGAAACCACCTACGACATTGGTTGGGGTACCTCCTGTTGCTTGCGTGAATGCCTATGGCGCGCACATGGTCGTGAATGAAATGACTGCAGAGGGCACAGAGGGGCGCTGTTCTCGCCCCTACTCCCGCTGCGAGGCGCCCGCGAGCGTCGAGAGGACACGACGGCGACGGAGCCTAGCGCGCGCAGCACAGCAGGAGGAGGAGGAGGAGGAGGAGGAAGAGGAGGAGGAGGAGGAGGAGGAGGAGGAGCGAAGAGGAGGAGCGAGGAGCGAGGAGCGAGGAGCGAGGAGGAGGAGCGTGGAGGAGCGAGGAGCGAAGAGGAGCGAAGAGGAGCGAGGAGGAGGAGGAGGAGGAGGAGAAGGAGCGATGAGCGAGGAAGAGCGAGGAGCGAGGAGGAGCGAGGAGCGAGGAGCGAGGAGGAGGCCCCCACCTGGACGAGCTCAGGGCCGCTCAGTGCAGCGCCCCGCGCTGCTCGCAGCAGCCCCCCCCCAGGGATGCTCCGCTCGGAGCGCCCGGTTGATCCGCCTCCCCGCGAGGAGCGCCGCGCCCGCGGGAGGACGGCCCCCGCCGCTCCCGCCGCGGGGCCCTCGCGGGGCTGCCCCGAAGGAGGAGAAGTAAAAACGGCACAGGCACACAGCGGGGGCCCGTGCCGAGAGGGCACCCTGCTCGACTCCGGGGTGCCCCGGGGGCTCTCGGGCTTCGATGGTTCTGCCATCACCAGCGCGACCCCAATAGAAAGCGACCTGGGGGTTGTCTGGCCGCGCTGTCGTCGGTTCACTTTCGGCAAAGGGGACTAGCGGGTCGGGCGGCCGCGCCGCCGTCAGAATTCCCAGCCCCTCCTCTCCGCTGCAATATCCCCGCAGCTCCCCAGGTGGCGGTCGTTAGTTTGTTGTGACCCTCTCTTAGTGGTGAAGGAGGTGTTCCCGTCAGTTTTGCGACCCCCCCTTCATTTTCCCCTTGTGAGTCCACGTCGTCGGTTCTGACGGTTCTTGGGTTTGATGTTAATGATTCCCCCGTGATGTTATGCCGTGGAAGGCGTGCTGTTCCCGCACCAGAAATCGATGGACGTCCTGGGGTCTCAGGGTTGTGTTTCTTGTGGAAGGTTTCTTGTGGTCGGGCCAGGCCCTTCTTTATCTCCTAGTATAATTTCATTGAGTTCCGCGCAATTTTCTCGGATCGGCGCTGGGGCTATCTCGGAGAAGAAAGTTAGCCTGGCGAAGGGCCTTACGAGTCACGCAGGGTGTGACCATCTCCTCGTAGGCAGCGCGCCGCAGGAAGAATGGAGCACAGGACATGCGGACGGGGGCCACGAGATGTATGAGGAGTGCCGAAATGCTGGCTGGGGAACACATGCCGACCCTTCCACAGGAGCCCTCGGTGGAGCTTTCTGTGGGGCCACGAAACGTGTAAGGGGCATGCCGAAATGGGTTGGGTGGGGGACGCATGCGTGGAGCTCTCTGTGGGGCCACGAAACGTGTAAGGGGTGTGCCGAAATGGGTTGGGTGGGGGACGCATGCGGACCCTGCCACGGGAGCTCTCGATGGAGCCCCTTCTGAAGCCACGAAACGTATGAGAGGTACGTCAAAATGTGTTGGGGGACGCATGCGGACCCTGTCGCAGGAGCCCTCGGTGAAACTCTGTGCGGGGCCACGAAACGTGTGAGAGGTGTGCTGGAATGGGCTAGGGCACCACGAAACAGGTGCGCCGAAATCGGCTGGGGGACGCGTGCGGACCCTGCCACAGGAATCCTCGGTGGAGCTCCCTATGGGGCCGCGATACGTGTGAGGGGTGTGTCGAAATTGGTTGGGGAACGGACCCTGTCAAAGGAGCCCTCGGGGGAGCTGGATGGGCCACGAAACGTGTGAGAGGTGTGCCGACACGGGCATGCGGAGGAGGTGGGAGGAGAGGAGAGGAGAGGAGAGGAGAGGAGAGGAGAGGAGAGGAGAGGAGAGGAGAGGAGAGGAGAGGAGAGGAGAGGAGAGGAGAGGATAGGAGAGGAGAGGAGAGGAGAGGAGAGGAGAGGAGAGGAGAGGAGAGGAGAGGAGAGGAGAGAGAGGAGAGGAGCGAGGAGAGGAGAGGAGAGAGGAGAGGAGAGAGAGAGGAGAGAGGAGAGAGCGAGGAGAGGAGAGGAGAGGAAGAGGAGAGGAGAGGAGAGGAGAGGAGAGGAGAGGAGAGGAGAGGAGAGAGAGGAGAGGAGAGGAGAGGAGAGAGAGGAGAGAGAGGAGGAGAGGAGAGGAGAGAGGAGAGGAGAGGAGAGGAGAGGAGAGAGGAGAGGAGAGGAGAGGAGAGGAGAGGAGAGGAGAGGAGAGGAGACAGGAGGTGTGGACGCGCGGCGATGCGTATTCAAAACGAGGGCCCAGCATGACAGAATGGTCGGGGAAAACGCGTAAACATGATTCTGTAGGCTTACGCCACACCGCCGACCCCTTGTTTTTTTGGAGGCAATCTCGGACGACGGAGGCGGAAGTGGCGGCGAACCAGTGCGACTCGAAAGATGCGGGGGAGAGGTTTTGCAGGGCGTGCGCCCGCAACGAGACGGAGGCGGAAGTGGCGGCGAACCAGTGCGACTCGAAAGATGCGGGGGAGAGGTTTTGCAGGGCGTGCGCCCGCAACGAGAAGGGTGGGCGGAACGAGAAGGCGGATGCAGAGAATCGCAAGCGGAAAGCAGAGGCGGACGCGAAGTCGCTGACGTGCGCGGCGAGCAAAGGCGCGTTCTCGGACACGAGACATTTGAAGCAGAAGCAAGTGGAACATCATCGAGCGGCGAAAGGAGCTAAAGTGGTGTGCAGAAGCTGCGAGGAACTCGGGTTCACAGCGCGCAGTTGCCAGGCTTATCGGTGCAGCGGCGCGTGCAAGAGAGGACTACCAAAGTCGGCGTTCCCCGACCCGCACAATGTCCCGCGCGACGCAAAGAAGGGCACCCTAAAGTGCAAGACGTGCAAATGATGCCCAATCGGTTGCGCGTACTGGGCAGAAAAGGGAAGACGGGAAGAGGAGGATGGGGGGTGAGGCAAAACGGGGGGGAGAAGCATCGGTGAGGATGAGCTGAAGCGGGGCAGGAAGAGGAGGAGGGGAACGAGGAGGAAGTGTAGGAGGAGGAGGAAGAGGAGGAGGAGGGGGACACTGAGATGAGGCTCCGGGTTATGGGGCTGGGCGCGACTCGAAAAATTGGTGTGTTCGGAGATGTCCGATGGGATCTTGCGGGGGGGCTTCTTGCGGGCCTCTTGGAGCAGTTTCGAAGGCTCTTGGGGGCCGTTTTGGGGCCTCTTGGTGGCTTCTTGGGCGCCTCTTGGAACGTCTGGGGGGCCTTTTGGGGTGTTCTTGGGGCCTCTTTGGGGCCTCTTGGGGCCTCCTGGGGGCCTCTTGGGGCGTGAGGCTGGGTTTTCCGGTGCGTGGTCTCTCTCTGGAGCCCCTCTTGGGCCCGTCTCCGGGAGGTTCTTGGGCCGTCTTGAGCGGCTCTTGGGCCGTCTGGGGGCTCTCTTGGGCCGCCTTGGGCGGCTCTTGGGCCGTCTGGGGGCTCTATTGGGCCGTCTTGGGGGCGTCGTGGTGGCCTCTTGTGCCGTCTTGGAGCAGTCTTGGGAGCTTCTTGGGCTGTCTTGGAGCGTCGGAAGGCCGAAAAGGCGAAAATGACGAAAACATCAAAAAACACAATGAAAATCAACGATTTTGGCCTCTTGGGGCGCTTTTCGGGGGCCTCTTGGAGGTCTCTTGGGGCGTCTTGGAGGTCTCTTCGGGCGTCTTGGAGCCCTCGTGGGGCGTCTTGGGAGCCTCTTGGGGCCTCTTGGGCGCTTCTTGAGGCGTCTAGGCTAGGCGGTCTCTTGGGGCGTCTGGGGGCCTCTTGGAACGTCTGGGAGGCCTCTTGGGGCCTTTTTGGCCCGTATTTGGGCCCTTTTGGGCCCGGAAGAGCGTCGTGAGTCGCTCGTAGTCGGCACCCCCCCCCCCCTCCAAATCGACCGGACCGGGTTCCCGGGGGAGGGGTTTGGGGAGGGGGAAGCATCTCACACGCCGATGACCCAAGGGGTCGGCGGATTTCTCGGAGCTCTGCGCCAGATCGGCGCCAGGCCTGCCTGACGGCGCCTCCGGCGCCGCCCCTGGCGCGCGCCGCCCCTGGCGCGCCCCACGCGCCAGGGAGGGGCTTACACCGCCGATCCAAGAAACCCGCGCGGATCTCCGATTTGTTTTTGTCATGCCGTTGTTTGTTCCTCTCGTGTTCGGCTCAGTCGGCTGGGTTCGACGGGTCAGTCGGCCCGAGGGGTGCAGGGCCCCCGAGATCCAGGCGTTGCCATTTTGCTTTCCACGGGCGGTTTCGCCCGGCTTCGTCGGGCCCCAAGGACCATCACGAATCGATCCGGCTCGAAGAGAGCCGCAGAAAGATGGGGTCCAGGGCTCTGGTCGCTGTGGTTGGCGATGTCGCAATTTTATTCGAAACCTCGGATCTCCCGGGACTGGGTGGGGGGGGATGGAGGAGGAGGAGGAGGAGGAGGAGGAGGACGGGAGGATGGGATGACGGGAGGACGAGAGGATGATGCCGGGCGAGGTTGGGAGGAGAAGGCCCAGGGGAGGGGATCGGATCGATCGTCCAGGGGTCGATTTTCTTGGGTCGAGCCTTTGCTGCTGGGTGAGCGCCGAGACCCTTCGCGCCAGACGCTCGGAGACGGTCGACGGGGGGAGGGGTGCCAGAGGAGGAGGAGGAGGAGAAGGAGGGGGAGGAGGAGGAGGAGGAGGAGGAGGCCAGAGCAGGAGGCCAGGAGGAGGAGGCGGTGGAGGAGGCGGAGGCGGAGGCCAGGAGGAGGAGGAAGAGGGGAGGAGGCCAGAGGCGGAGGCGGAGGAGGAGGCCAGAGGAGGAGGCTGGGAGGAAGGAGGAGGAGGAGGAGGAGGAGGAGGAGGAGGAGGAGGAGGAGGAGGAGGAGGAGGAGGAGGAGGTGCGTAATTCCCCAATGGCCAATCAGAGCTTGCCTCTGTAGGGGTCCTAGCGGATATAAAGCTGAGGTGAGGTGGGCGGCCGATTTCGGTGGCCGGGGCCGGGTGCCCGGGGGTGCCCGGGGGTGCCAGGGTGCCCAGGTGTGTGGACGATTTCGGTGGCCGGGGCCGGGTGCCCGGGTGCCCGGGGGTACCCGGGGGTGCCCAGGGGTGCCCGGGTGCCCAGGGGTGCCCGGGTGCCCGGGGTGCCCAGAAGTGCCCGGGGGTGCCTAGCCCAATAGCCATATATCCCTATAGCCCAATCGCCCTATATCCCTATAGCACTATAACCCTGTAGCCCTATAGCCGTATAGCCCTATAGCCCAATAGCCCAATAGCCCCATAGCTCCATAGCCCCATAGCCCCATAGCCCTATAGCCCTATAGCTCTATAGCCCTAAAGCCCTATAGCCCTATGATCCTAAAGCCCTATTGCCGTATAGCCCTATAGCCCTGTAGCCATAGAGCCCCATAGCCCTAAAGGCTTCTAGCCCCATGTCCCTATGGCCACATCGCCCTATAACCCTATAGCCCCATAGCCCTAAAGCCCTAAAGCCCCATAGGCCATAGCCCCCCACAAATTCTGATTGGGTTTTTTCTCTGGTATCATGTGTTTGCTGTCAGGCCTAAGTAGGCCACATCACTGCTAATGTTCTTCGT